ATTGGTATATGAACCACATACTGCACATCTTCTTTCCAGTTAGTTTGGATAGTGGCTTACTGCACATTTACTGCACAAACAGCACAGAACCTGCCCTGTTAATGCAGTAGAACAGGCTGTTTTATTCCACGGCTTGCTCAAGTCATTTATAGCCCATAAAAATTACTTAACACATGGTGGCATATGTAACGATAAACCTTGCTTTGAGAAGGAGGTGGAAGATGGCATTTGTGTACACAAATATATCCATACACATATTCAAGCTAACGCAATATGTTAACGCTCTTTTGTGCTATAAACCTAGTAGGCACACTATCATTGTAACTTACTGAGACAGAAGATGAAAATTTTTGGTAAGAACCTGCCTATTCATTCCTCACATCATGATTCTCAGATTCCCCCTCTGATTTATACTGCAGTTCTTAAGCTCCTCAGGGAAATGTGCCTAAAGTCTTGCTCATACCTCCTTGGACCGACACACTCGTGTGCACAGTCGTGTGCACTGCACAGGCTGGGGTACCAGAGCAGATGCTTCTGCACTGACTGCTCATGTGGAAGACAGGTAATGCTATTATATTAATAGATCTTCTTTTTGTAGTTACATTACCTGGCACAGTGGTAGCAGCCCACTGTTGAGATGCTATTTGTCCATCATTAAATAAGAATTATTACTGAAATAATTGTTGCTAATAAGACAGTTAAAAATAGGAGTATGAGACATTGCCAATTTAGTGTGGTAGCAAAAGCTGTGATAAATCTAGCATAGCTCATTGTACCTAATATACTAAAGAGCATCAGATATGTCTTCAGAACCACTCGAATATTTTGTGGCTGATTGTAGAGAACCTGTGAAATTTTAGCTCTAAGATGAATACTTATAATTAGTGTTGGGATTCAGCTACTTACATAACCTGGCCAATGGAGGAATGAGGGATGATCCTTTCCATTAATCAGAATAATCATGAAATCATCTCAGGCAAAACTAGGAAATCTATTAATCCAAATCTTACTTGGAAAGGATGGTCAGAAATGTTATGCAAAGTATTCTACAGCATTACAGAGAATTCACTGTCCTACAGTTTTTGGAGGATTGATGCCTGCAAGCAGTGTATATTGATCGTTATGTGGAGGTGCTTCCTGAAGTTGTAACCAGTTTGGAGAAATATTAATTTGAATTTCAGCTCCTGCTTACAGTTTTCTGTTAAACTTTTCCTTATTTGGTTTTTTGGTTGTTTTTTTAAGTTTGTAACTTTCTATTTTAAATATTTTTTGCTTAAAGTACATGCTTTTCATTGAAATACATATTTTACATTTTGCCTGTCACTCAGCACTTAGCAGGGCCATTATCCTTCTTTGGTAAAATGCAGAGTCCCTGCATAGTCTGCAGAGTCTATGCAGAGACATATCCTAAACTTGGCATTTCGTTGCACTGTTGAACCGATGTGGGTGGCTAAAGTCCACAGAGTCTGAATAAATTGAATAGTTGAATAAATTGGCATAATCTAAAAATGTATAGCAGAAGAAATAGTGCAGGGACAGTACTTAAATGAATGCGCTTAAATAAACAGAGCTTTGTGCAGAAGATTAAAATGAGGGAAAGAACAAAGAAGAAAATGAAAGGAAAAAGTCTGACCTCATTTACAATGTTTATAAGCTGGGAAGAAACCTGTTGCAGTAAATGGAATTATATATAACAGGAAAAAACAGCAGTGAAACTTAAAAACAATGAGATAACTCCGTGTGGCAAGTGAACCATATGACTCTCTGCAAGAACTTCAAACTGTGTATGGCGGTAAAAGACAAAATTGTTTCTGAACAGTCATATGGGATGGGGGAAGAGGGGAAGATCCACTTACACAGAAAGGGAGGATAGAAAATAATGGATTTTAGAAACAGAAAAGGAAAGAGAAATTCTCTAATGGGGCTGTTATCAGATTTGCAAGGGGGAAAAGTTTTCCCGAGCCAGTGAGAGATTAAAAATTTTTCAATATGATGACCTGAAACGTTCCGGATTTTTAAAGTGAGAAGGAAAGTCACCAGGCAGATTCATGGAAACTTCACATCTTAGATGTTGAGACCTGGTGCCACTCAGAACATACATCCTCAATCCCCTCTTCGGGCAGCTGGGAGTTCATCCCTGCTAGTGTTTGAAGCTTTGGTCAGCTGGCCTTCATCTACATTTAACAGCAATTACACCTGCACTTGGGAAACTTTTCTGATGGAAGTTTTCTCAAAACTAGATTGTCTAGAAAAGTTAAATCAGAAAACATACACACACATATCTATATTTCAGCATGTCTGTCTGGCTCAGAAACTTGCCTTAAGTCTTCTGAAGTCACTGAAGCAAATACTGTCTGTTTGCAGATACATTGAAAAAAAAAAACAACCTGTACCTCATAGCAGGACTTGCCAAATAATAAAATGAGTCCTTGCAATAATGAATACGAAGGAGTAACTCATAGTGGGCTATTGTTGCTACAGCACCTACAGATTTATTTTCTGGCAACTGTCTTTAAAGAGCAACAAGATTCTTTCTCTGTCTCCTGCCACAGTGTTGTGAGACTTCCTTAAGTGTTTAATGCCTAACAGGCTTTGTTCAGTGAGGGCAGAGTTCGTGATTTTATCAAGACTCTCTGAGATTTAATATTATCCTTTCCCAGGTGCGTAACTACTGAAAAGGCTTGCTCATAATCTATCTTTACCAATAAAAGCTGTGTTTATAGGAGTCAAAAGGCAGGCTCTTGTAAGTCCTCAGAAACTGAAAGTGGACAAACCGTTTGCATAACATGACTTAAAACTTAGCTGGTGTTTTCTGAGATTTAAAGTAGCTGGGACCTGGAAAATTGCTATCATGTTCATCATAAAATACTTTTTAAGATATTAAAGGTTAATAATGGATAGCATACTTTTTTTTATGTATTTTTCATCCACAGATACAGTTTCATCACCTCTAGGAATTACACAGGATTTTTTTACTGTGTCCATCAATTTGAAACAGAAAGCAAAAGATTTTTTTTTTTCCTCTAAAAAGGAAGACAAGTTTTAGGACAGTAGAACTCGTATATTCTGCTGGATTTGAAATCTGCTCAAGAAACATCCTATACTATGAAAGAAGTTCAAATAAAAATCTAATGAACAGGAGTTCAGTTTTACCCCCCAGAAGGTTTTACACCTCTGAAGAAAGCCGCCTTGCCCCAAACAGTTACCATAAAAAGATTCTTGAACGATCTAAGGAACGTTAAAAAACTCTTCACTGCTGCCTTTTTATAATCCCTGAAGTGACTAGTCTACCGAATGTCTGCTTGAAATTATCACTCAAAAAATGTGATAATGCATGGTCCGTTCGGGTATCGTTCATGAAGAATGACTTGCCTAGCTAGTGCCCAGGCTACAATTACCGCCCCAAATAAATTTCTCCGAATCACTAGGCAAAACCTTCTGAGGTTGCCTTACGCAACACCTCATGTGAGACTTAAGTTTCATTAGCGCAAGTAAGAGCTGCTGTGTGACAGGTTGTGACATAAATGCTATTTATGAGCAACCTGATGCACAATAAATTGTTTCTGTATCCAAAAGGGAAAGCACTCTATGTAAGTATAATTACTTATAGTCTTACAATTTTTCTGACCCGACTTGGTACAGAAACAATATTAGCAACATGTTTCGGTGCTGTAGACAATCTAAGAAATAAACTCTGCATAAAACGCATGCTGAATATTAAATGTTTAAAGACTATGAGAAAAGTGCATAGGGATCTGAAGACTTGTCAGTAATTCTCAGTAGTGTTTTGCATTATTTAGTGACTTGAAAAGCTCTCCACTGAGCTCCCTCAAAAAGTAATTAATCATTGAGAACCTGAGCACAAAAATAGAAGTAAAAATAGTATTTAAATATATAAAAACTGAGGCATGGCTATAGCTTAGCTCAGAAACCGTAGCAATCAATGTCACTAAAAATCATTTCAAATTGACATGCCTTCTTTTCCTGCTTGTGGAAAGAAATCACTTTTTCCTTATGAACCAATGTTTTCAGTAGTAACTAATATGTTCAGATTCTAATTTGAAACACTTTAAAGCATCTCATTTTCAAAACAAAGAAAGCTCTGGTTCTTTAAAAAAATTGAGATGTTTCTTTTTTCTTTTCAAAACAATTTCCAATACCCTAATAGTCCATATTATGTCATTGGTTAAAACAAAACAAAATAAAAGTCTGTTTCAGCACAACCTGGGATATAGGTTCTAAGATGTGAAAGAATTATGTGAGATGCTTTTCCTGAAATTGCTTCAGAGAGATACCTCCACAGATATTGATGAAAAATAAATTGATGAAAATTATCACAGTGATTTCACACAGGGTTTCAGATCTAGTTCAATCTATAAAAGATTATTCTAAAGGTGAACTTTTCTGTTTGGTCTGCAAGAAAAATAGGCACAAAAAAAAGGTGAGAAAATATATAATGGATTGTCTTAGAAAAATGTTTTATCCTTCACGATAAATCTGTGATTTAAAGTATAGTTCATAATTCCATACTTTATAGAAACTTAAATAATTTCAAATTATTTGATACAATTTTAATATTGTTTACTTCTAACTATCACAATACTAGCACAATGAAAATGATCATTTATGCAGGGCATTTTTGACCTCAGCTAATAAGGTTCCTTTCAAACAATGATGATATAAATTGATGTAAGTTAATCAGTAGAATACTAAGTTATAAATTCATGAAGAACTGAGGCTACACATGCAAAATAATGTTTTATTTTTTCCCATCTGTAATGTTTTAGTAGACTCGGATAGAATGATTTCCAGTGTTGTATCAATGATGAAAGACTTAGATACGTTCACTTTTTTTGTTTTATAATATAATCTATAATCTTACAGTGTGCTTGGATTTAGTTGTGCAATTAAATTTTCAAGAGGTGCATGAAATTTGAAACTAGAAAAAGCCAGCAGAATAGTCAATAAGATCACAGGGAAATATAGTATATGTTTGAAAAAGCATTTTAAGAAATCATCTAGTCTTTAAACCTGTGTGAAGGCAGGTTCAAGTATGTCTAAACTATTCCTAAAATCAAGTATAATAAATTATATAAAAAGAAAAATAAAATCAACCTGCATGTACCTTTTGTAGACTCAAAGCTTTTCCTAATATTTAATCAAAATCTTCCTTGCTGCATTTTAAAGCCACTAGTTTTTGTCCAGCCTACTGTGGAACTTTCTAGATGTGATATTATATTTAAAAATATATAGGTGTTCCTTCATACAGAAGACGTAGAACCTCTGCTACTTCTACTTTAAATCTAGAAACATAACCCTCTTCATCTGTTTTGAATGCAGTTTGCAGGTTGTTTTACAATTAATGCCAAATGATTAATATTTTCCTCACATCTTTTAGACAGGGAAGTAGGCAGTATGATCTTCTACACTGAAGGTATTCATGAGTTCATAAAATTGATTCTTCTATGTCAAATTTAAAGTACAATATCTGACCATTAGCCTATTTATTTATTATTTTACTTAATGAAAATTCAGTCTGATAAAGGATTGCTGCTGATGAGAAAACTACCTTCCAGTAAACCTTTTAATTTTTATTACATCCACGCAGAGGTTCACCGGAGCAATCAGAAAAGACCTAGTTTGCTAGGAAAAGTAACATTGTTTTCATTCATAGCAGAAGGAAAACTCTACTTCCAAATGAAGACTGACAGAGCTCTGTTAGCCTTGGCTGACCAAAGATACTCCAAACTCAGGCAAGGCCATATGGAGTTGAGGAACCTGATGGGTGCTCTGTGTATCACAGAGGCACAGAAGATGGTGAAGATTTGTTGTACTAACAGTCCTTAAATGAAGAGCAGTTGACAAGGAAGAAGATTCTCCACCGTAGTCACTCAGAGCCAACGATAAGACACTCTTGTTAGTACTAAGTAAAGTGGCAATGATCTTTTGGCTATTATGAAACAAGTTTCTGACCAGCACATTCATTCTTCATTTTAGAAATCTGGAATGTATCCTTCATCTGAATGACTGTAGAGGCAGCAGTGTCCGTTTCAGCTCCTTTCTCAGCCTCCCTGACAATTCTTGATTTCATATACTGCTGTCTGTAAAAATCTCTCAGAAATTCTTAATTTTCTGCCAGAAGTCTCTAACTTTTAAATTTCTGCTTCTGATTGAGAATGCACCATTTTCACTTTGTCATTCACTTATCATTTAGCAGAGGCATTATTTTTCATCATTGTCCTCTTATTACTGTAACAACTATACCCAAAAGCCAGTTCATTTTACACTAACTACAGGAGAGTTTCAGTGAGAAGTTTGCTTGATCATCTTAGTATCTCTGTTGTGGGCCTTCGTTAAGTTCCTGAACATCCTATGGGCTTCACAGTAGTGGAAACTCATTTATAACTAAGGATAAACAAAGGTTAAGAAAAAGACTTGATTATACTTAATCAGTTTGCCTATGTGTTTTTAGAACACCATAGAAATGAGATGTATTCATGAAGATCTATCAATTTATTCAGTATTAATTGTTCTAATTAAAACAATTAATTGCTTCAGTATTGGTTACTTTAATGCAATGCTTCACAAGCTGTAATCTGCTGTTGTCTGCAAGGCTGTGGTGAGTGTTTGTAGCAGATCTAGAGGTCCTATGTTTGATGGATTTGATGGAACCAGCTAGGTGGTTCCTTCCATTCCCTCACTATCATCCTGTTTCTAGTTTCTAGCCACAGTCTTATTCCCATATGACCAAATGCACCAGAGGTGTCACTTGGCATCATAGTTTGCCAACAAAACTTTGGAGATCCACTGATGAACTGATCCACTGAGTCTGATTGCCATTAAGTTCATCCTCCTCACAGTGCTGAATCCATAATCCTCTGTGTTGGTAGCTCTTCAAAAGTGAGAGGTTCTAGCTACGAAGCAAATGCACACATTATACTATCTTTACATCTGAAATTTGAGGCAATATATTCAACATAATACAAGCCAAACTGATTTTAGCTTCCTTCATCATTTTCATTCCTCCTTCCTGATATAGTTTGGCTACAGGAACGAATGTAGCCATCAAAATCCATGATACGGAGCCGAGGACATCATATAGATCTGGGAGACATGTAATGGAGTACATGTCTTGCAAGACATGTATTTATGTTGAGGAAGGCATTCAACTTTAAGTTTTGAATTCAAATTTACACAATATAGTTCATTGTGAACAATAGATATGGCCCTTTAAATTAAATAGAGCTAAGCCACAGGTGCCCATCAGTTAATAGTCACAGTTTCCATCAAAATAGTCCGCATTTCTGCCTCAGGCCCTTTGCGATAGATCAATTGCATACGCAAACTGTCAGAAAAACTCCAGTTAAAACTGGCCAAACTAAGTTTTTTCTGTAGAACTTTGATTTGCTTCCCTTTACTAACAGAAATATCAGTAGTTAGTTAGTAAAAGACAAAACCTTAAGAGGGAGGATGTTCCTTGTAAATTGAAAATAATGGTACCTAAGGCATAAAGGAGGAAAAGGCTGTCCAAGGTTGCCAAATCCAGCAGCAAAAATAGGCATATAATCCTATTTACTTTTTAAATTCTGAGTCATATGGGATAGGATGATATATTCTTTGTGCACCTATATTTTGAAATGGTCTGTATTGCATATTTACATTCATTTTTCCACAAAATTATAAGCAGATCTTCTGCTCAGAAATGTCAGGCAACTTCAGCTACAGACAGTAATTGCAGCTAAAAATATATTGGCAATCATTATTTTCTAACCTATCTCAGGAAAGCACAAAGATACAGCATAACAGGGAGCTTCCAAGCTCCATGCTGAATATCGCTCCTTCCTCCAAGTGATATATAAGCTGCAACAAAGGACCGCTTTTATGAAAAATGCCTCAAGACACAGCAGGCAAGTCTACTACAAAACTGAGCACTGTCCTTTTTGATTATGAAAGCTGTTTGTTATGCTTTGAAAACAGGGTTGGTAATGACAGGTATCTCCTCTACTGTCAAAGACAAAATGGGCGCCATTGCTGGGAACTACAAACACTGTTGCCAAGTTCAGCTCAAAGTTTTACCCGTAAAACCGTCATCCAACTGCCAAGGCAAATAAAAAGTGCCAGTAGGGTTTATGTTTTTGTTTTTTGGGTTTTTTTGTCTCTCTCTCTTCTTATTCAGCAAACAGAATTTTTAAAAACAACAGCTCATTTATAAAGCCTGTGCTGAGATATGCCAGATCCTGCATGCTGTAGATACGTAGGGCACGGAAAGGAAAGACTACGTTATCTGTTTGCAGTAGCAGCAGGGAACTTCAAGAACATAATTACCTGAGTGAAGTTTGGCCAAAATGGTGGTTATGAAAAGTACTATGGAGTGTTTGATGAACAGTTGCCACAGGCTGCTACTTTAAACTCTTTCTGGTGAGATGGCCTCTTAAAAAAAATAATACCATCCTTGGCACCAGTCCAATGGCAAACTTTTTCACCTTTAACTAATCACTCATTCTTACCCATTTTAAAATGGCATAAACTGGCCTTGCTGCTGAAAGAATTCTCTTTAGGGTCCTGCTTACTCATTCCCACACAATTTCCCTGATAAAAACTCCTTCCTTAGTCATAAATGTTTGCACAGATGCCTGGGGAACTGGTTGATAGAAATGATCTGAGTAAAAACTAACTCCTCTGGCCCCAGATATATTGAATTTGGGTTAGTTACCCAACCCAGTTCACCACACACTTATCCAAAAATTTATGCCAGCATGAAGGAAGAAACGAGATTGAGAGAAGAATGGCATTTTTCAGCAACCATGCTGGCTTATGACAGAGTGTCTTTCATGAAGCAACCAGAGAATCATAAAATAATTTAGAGTGGAAGGAACAGCTGGAGGTCTCCCGTCCAGCTTCACATTGCAAGCAGGATTAGCTTCAAAGAGCCTTCCTTGTTGAATTTTCAAAATCTCCAAGACAGGCTCAATAGCCTCTCTTGGTTAAACTCTTCTCATAGTAATTTTTTAAATTTTCTTAATATTCTGTTGGAATTCTCTTGCTTCAGCTTTGAATGTTACCTATTTTGTTTCTTGCTGTGGAGCTCTGAGAAGAGTCTGACTCCATCTTCTCTATAACCTCCCATAAGGTAGCTGAGAACAGCTAAAGACTGTTACCTTTCATCTCCTGAGGTTAAATAAACCCCTATCCCTCTGCCTCTCCTCAATAACACATGCTGTAGCCCCTAATCATCCTATTAGTCCTAAGTTGGAGTCTCCTCAATCTCTGGAGGACCCAACTGGACTCGCTGTTGTAGACATGGCCTTACAAGTGCACAACGAAGGAGTGATTATTATCACTTCCTATGACACTGACAGTGACAATGACCATGACATCATTTTCTAAAAAAAAAGATGTTGATGTTATTGTAACAGTGACTTTCTGAGAGAAAAATCAGATTTTAATTGTTCCAAATTTTAAACAGGTGTTGTTGAGCAGAACTGAATGAACTCCACAAATTTTGAGACGAGCTCATGTAAAAAGTGATTGCCTTGTGAGAAAAGGACATTGTCTCCAATGCCAGCACTTTCAGTATTTTTTAAATTGCTTTAGGCAATTGTATTTTTTTAGCTTTCATCATTCTAAAGAAGTCCAAAGTATATTAAATCTGATTTGTAGACCCTGCATTATCGCCCAACTATTTGAAAAAAAATAGTGGCACAAATAACTCTTTTCATAGATCATCCATTTTGCTGTCAACAATAAAGAAAAGCTGCCTGAGGAAAAGAGCTTTAAATATAGCTATGCTGCTATCAACAAGTTAGCACTACTGCAAGAAAGCAAGTCCGATTGTTTAATCTAGCATTTTGCTGCAGGAAGCAGAGATCAGTAGCAGTGCAGCATGAATGCAAGCCTAGTTTTTTGTTGGTGAGTTTTGCTGAAGGGAGTAGACGAGATCAGATTAATACATCTTTCTGATTGTCTATGTACATTTGGTTTGACTCTGTGTATAATCAGGAGGTTGACTGTAATTCCCAAAGGGCTTCTAACGCTGGGAATGTGTGTTATAGTGAAGTGAGTTGAACTAAGCTAAATATGAAAAGTTTATATAAAGACAGTGTGGCAATTCTTAGAAGCGAGCAGGTCAGATTCTGTCTCTTTGGCCCAATTGTCATGCTGAAATCAAAGAGGCAATATAACGTGTCTTTATCATTTTTGTCTGTTACGTACAAGACATAGGATCGCGACATGGGCTGTAAACCTACGTGTAACACTCCAGTGGTAGCTGCTCAAAGTTCAAGGATATTTGGATTCATTGTTCCCATTCCCCCAAATCAACCTAAGCAGTGAAGTTTGGGTTTTGTCTCACACAGAAATCCGCCTGGCTTCCTGGTGAGCTGCTCAGTCCTCAAGCTTTTAAAGTCTATGATCCAAGCAGGCCCCCAGTATGGATTGTGAGGATTATTTTATACGATCTGACTAGTACTCGCATCACCTTTATCCCTTCTTCTTCATCTTTGTTCCTCTAGCAGATCCCAGAGTTATCTTCTATCTTCCCAGCTGGTGAAGGCAAGCCTACTGAGACCGTTGTGTTCCTTCCATTAACAAGCATGTAACTAAATGTCTAAATGCTGATGAGTTCTGAACCCAGAAGAAATCACTGTGAAGTATGAGATGGCGGACTTGCTTGAACGGTTGAGGGTATTCACATGTCTCTACCAAGCCTTAAATCTACAGTTACACAAAAGACTGTGGTTGAAATCTGATGGCAAAGAGTATCATTTTGTCAGCCATCTTCTAATCTCACTCTTCTTCTTATCTCACTACCCACCTGTGACAAACATTAGGGATATTGGATAAAAAAGGAGAAAGTTACTATCTTCAAAATAGAGTTGCAGTTTAATTTGGTTTACTTTTGTTTCCTGTTTTTTTGTTTCCAAGATTACAACTGAGATTACAATTGTTCATGTTGTTTTTCTGCTGAACTATGGTGATGTCAACAGGAGCAGAATCCACTGTCTCCAGGGAGGTACAGAATTCAGACAAAATGATATATGGTCTAGTTAGGCAACTCAGGGCTTCTTACCAAGCTTGCCTCACATCAACAGGAGAGTGCTATCTGCTAGTGTTGTGAGGATGAGCAAACACAAGGCAGCAACTCTTCTGAGAGGTGAAACCAATTAGGGGCAACTATTAGCTCCAGGCAAAAAGTGAATCATGAGAGTGTTCCTATTTCTCTTCTTTCTAATCACTGAATCTATGGAAGAACTCTGCAGGCTACCTATACCATCTCTATGTTGTTTTTTGCTCTTCCCTATGAGATTTGAAAGGTGGAGAAAAGAGAGGATTAGAATTTCCCTCAGACGGAACTGAAAGAAAAAGATCATACTTTATCACTAAAGTGATCATTAATCTTGGCAGAATTCCTGTCACCTTGTGAAAAGATCAGACCGATTAGAAATTCTGAAATGCAGAACTGCATTTGGAAAATTGAAAGCATTAAGGTTATGTAAGTGTAATGAAAGTAGAATTTGTCTTTGCAAAATATTCTAAAGGTGCATTAAATTGGCCCTGAATTTAGATTTGTGACCTGCTTCAGTTTTCATCTTTAATGAAATAAAATCTGGTCTGTGTTATCCTGTTGCATGTCTGTGATTTCAAAATAGCTTGTATGCATTGGAGTAAACTGTTGATCCCAAGTTTCTCCCACGTTCTGTTTTTCACCTTTCCAATTAGAGCCCTTCTCGCAAAAAATAAATTGACACCATCTTGTGTTTCTTGTTAGTTCAAGATAATTATGGAACTTAACACTCCAAATGGTAATTACACTTGCTGTTGAGCACAGCAGCCGTTTTAGAACTGCAGACCAAATCAGATTAGCACTTTTCTCCAATAAAGTTAAATGTGCTTAAAAGTTACCTCCTGATGCATACAGAATAACATTTTACAGTAACTATCACTTAATGTCTGTGGTCTGTTGGAGCTAGACCGTGCTGATAGGATTCATTTGGTTGAATGTTGATGCCTATATCAGGGTGAACTGTCAAGGCTCGTTTTAGAGCCAAAGGAGAGCAATTGCTGCTACTGGAGTGTGATTTGTCTCATTCTCAAACAGGTCAGATGAACTGAGCCCTCAAAATGCTTATTTCATTCCATTAATTGCAACAGCTTGGAAGGTTAATAATCTTGTAACTCCCATGATAAAATTTCCTTTTGCATTATCTAGTTCTCCAGTCCCAGCTGTAGAAGGATACTGGATTAAATTTGTTTTATATAGTAGACAAAACTCTAGGTTCTTAATTAGAGAAATAAAATAGAAATAAAACCAGTACAAGACTAAAATCAAACCTTTACTATTCAGAGAAGTTTCTTAACTACAGCAGATCAGATTTACAAAATCTAAAGGGTCAGCTCAGAGTTGCCCTTATCCTATACTTCAAATTTAAAAGGACTTGCCAATCATTACATTGTTGTAAATGTACTTATATAAAAAAGACTAGTAAACTAGTAAAGCAAGTAAAATGCAATGGGAAGTCTGAATGAGACCAATGGGATTCATTCCCTTTCTGTGTGTGACCAAATTTGATACAAAGGTCTTGTGGAAAATTTTTGCTATCCATTGTAGTCGCAAACAGTAAAGTTTATTCTGTAGATTGCAAGGACTCATAACATGAAAGTGGTATTTTGAATAATGGAGAATCCTGCAGACACAGATGTAGCTATTCATTCAAAACTGAGGGTTTTTTGCAAACACAAGTCTTCTCTTATTAGATCATAATATATTTTTATAAATATGTAAGTATGCAATTAAGCATACCTATGCATATAAACCATTGAAGTTGATCTAATCCTAGGAATCTACATATGCTAAACCTACTTTAACTGAGCACAAAGTATTAGCTTGTTGGATGAATCAACACTGAGTCCTCAGGCTCACTTTAAGTTTATGACATTACAGCTACCTAAATTAAAACAAAATTACCAACTTCACTTTTACTCCTAACATGTAGTGTTATATCAATTTTTACTTCAAATTGTTCATAAATCTTGCCTTCCATTTCAGTCTAACTGGAATTTAGCTAACCAGCTGGGAAACCAGTTAGAGGGCAAGAAATTACACAGTATAGGTACTTCTGTGAGGACTATGAAGGACAAGCTGCATGATCCAAATTCCAACCGGAATGTGCTGCAAAGGATCCCTTACATTTGTATAACTTTCTGGAATAGAGTACTGCTTATTTAAGGCAAATGCAGTACAGTGAATTAGTCCAGTGAAAACCTGGGGAGTTAGAAATCATAGGTAGAGTAGGACAAAAGTGCTGCTATGCTAAATAATGGAGTAAAAGCTGAGGAGTGTGAGCTTAGGGTTGCTCAGAGGACAGTTTTCCCACCTTTAGGTATCGTTTACAGACACTTTAGTCGCTCAGTAAGCTAAATGCTTTGGTTCTAATTTCTCACCTTTTCCAATACTGCTTCTTTGTTGTTCACAGTATGTGAAAGTCCTCATTGTGTGATCACTCTTCTCCCATGCCAGTCTTAGGCTGACGGAATTTCAGTGACTTTCATGAACTTTGTCCTAATTTAAACTGCCCAAGATTTAAATCTAGCTCAATACATCTAATTGACGGTGTGTGTATACCCCTTCTATACTTTCTATTGCAGTGAAGTAACATTTCTTGCACAATACAATTGAATGTATGAATTTGAGTAATTTATTTCACAATTTATTGCAGAATTCAAAATGCACGATGTTGAGTTTTGACCGTAATAAATGGTAAAACTCCCATTAACTCAGTGGAGGGAGTCTCTCTGGTCATAAGCAGCATTTGAATTCCAAAAGCTTTATGAAATGCAAACTTTAATATCATTTTCTAAACAGGTATACAAACATACTGAGGAGTTAAGTTACTTGATCCAGTTCATAAAGTGAGTGCAAAAAAATTATAACACTAAAAAAAAAATCCGGCTTGTCTGCAATGAGCTGGACAATACATTTACATCAAAGGCTTTCAATAAGTGATCCAAGACAACTATATAGAAAACATTAGATAACATCACCTTATAGATCAATTCAGTTCACGTAAAAAGAGCAGCCTATGACAAGAACAAACTATTGGAAAAAGAGAAAACAGATTAAAAAAAAAGCCCCACAAGTTTTTGGTATTCCCCCCTCCCCCCCACAAAAAAAAAAAAAGAGTCTCAAAGACTTCTTTGATTGAGATATCAGTGCGGTTTGGTAGAAACGGATGAGATGTTTGTCTCTTCCTTATTTGGTTTTTTGCAGCATATGGCAGCTGACACTCACTCACATTTATCTCATTAACAAAAAATCTGGTGCAATAGGAGTAGATTAGTGATCAGAGCAGTTGGTTCTACGGCATCTACATCTATACTGTGTAAGGCTGGGAGTTTTTACTTGAACTTATATTTTCTCTGGTCCCTGAACAAAATGTTCCTTTCATGCACGTGATTCAAAATCCGTCCAAAGGAGCACTCTTCAGTTATGGTTATGACATGCTCATAGCTAAAGACTGCTCCTTTGGATGGAGAACCATGCTGCCCTGCCATGAGAAAAGCTCAACTTGATTAGCAAGTTGTTTTCTGTGATCCCCAAGATCTTTTTTCACTATATACTTGATAAAAAAAAAAAAAATTATGTATATATATTGCTCCCCACCTCTTGTGAATAAATTATCTTTGAGGATTTTGCATGCCAACAAAAAGATTAAATTAAGGTAGACTGAACAGTTAAGGATTTTGATCCATACATATAAACTGACTAGAGTTTTTGTGAAACTCCAGGAGACTGTCTATTCAGTACTGGCAGTCATACTGAATTTATGCTGAAGGCAAAGCGTCCGTATGTCTCATGTGAAATGGAGATGGATGAGAAAAGTGTGAAAGAGGTTACATTTGTCTACAGATGGATAAACAGGTGTTTCTAGGAAGAGGAGGACACAAGGTGTATGATACCTCTATGAAAATTTCCAGAGGGATAGCAAAGCAGACTGACCATCAGCAGTTTCATCTACTAATCTCCCTCTGAGTAGGGGCCAAGAGCTCTTAAGGGAGAGTAAAGGAGGCTGACCATCAGCAGTCTGTCCCACTAATTCCCTCTTGGGTAGGGGTCAATAGCTCTTAAGTGATGCTTGCTTGAGTTGTGTGCTATCGCAAAGAGCTGAATGTCATTTCAAATATTCATTCTGAGATTGCAACAATAGAAATTAAGAAGGAAGGACAGAAGGACAGAACACACAGACAATGTACATTTTCCAGATAAGAGTAATGTCTTTGAATACTAACTCCACTGTCATATCAAAAAGATGCAGAAATCTTGAGATACCTGAGCTAAACGTCAAAAGTAACTTGGTGCCATCAGAAAGGGTAATTATACAAAGCTCCCCAAACAGTATACTCAAGGCATTTCAAGCAGTTAAGAGTGTATAGATACCTCCATTTTGCAATGGGAAACTACATTATAAAGATCAAGTTCTTCATTCAAATGGGTCATTGAGAAACCAGTGGAAAAAAGATGTCACTTTTATATAATCCTTCTTAAATTTTTATTACATTTTTCTAGATTTTAAACTTTTAAATATCATCAAAACTTGTATTATTTTTGGAAAAAAAAATCGGATCTTGTGTATTTGGGACTATTTATGTAAAAATAATCAAGTGAATAAACTGACAAACTGCATGCGAAAGTACCTGACCCCTTTTTACACAATTTAATCATTGGAATACATTGGGCAAATAATCATGGCAGACACCACATCCCTTTAAATATACATTTATATATTCAATTGATCTAAGAGAGGGAATGGAAGAAGGAATGTGTGTGGGGGGGGTTGTTTCTTTTCGAGAATTTGCATCATTTCCTATTGTATCTATTTTTCAAGCTCTCTTCAATTTCGGATCTTTAGCCTGTGGCATAAGATTTTACTTGGAACAAATTACTCAGCTTTGTTTAACAGCAAAACTGCAATATTTAGTTTTTGGAATTTGATTCAGAACAAGTAACCAGAGGGCAGAAGATACTGCCAATAGAGCGAGGACGGATTTGCCATGTTATACTTGGATGCATCTGTGGTGGCAGTGCAGTTTGTCTCCTATTAATGTGAGGAGGCATGGATCCAACACAATGAGATACTTATGGACAAGCTATAAGCTCTTTATGCTCTCTCGTCAGTAAATCTATACCTGCATAAGACCAGTTAGATTCAACAAGCCTGTTTCAAAAGGCTGGACAAACAGGCACCGTGTACGATTCTATTTTTAATTACTGTTTTTCGTCAGAGGTATGAGAAGGGTTGTTGTGGTAAGATGACTGGCTTTGGCTCAGCCATATTGGTTCTTTTTTTGTTTTCCCCTGGGAAGTAACATGCTTTCACATTGTTTCCGCTACTGAAGATAAGTTGTAAAAATCTGTTTCTGATGATGTAGAAGTCTTACAGATATGCCTAATAAAACCAGAGTGCTAATTCTTATTTTTTGTAATTCCAGAATACGCTCAGGTCACTTTCCAAAGGCAATCTAAAACTCTTCAATGTCTCATTCTTTTTCTATAATGTCAAAAATCTGAAGTAGCCGCTTTACTCAACAGCATGACACAGAAGCAAATGAGATGAGGAGAGGCTTCTAAGCTCTGCTTCC